TGTATTTCTTGTAAAGATACGAGACTGTTTAACAAAATCGGCATGTGCTGATAAAAAAAAAATTAAATTAATTTTTGGGCTTTTAGACACAATAGTTGGTACTTTGTTTTTCTATTTTGGTTTGCTAGATAGCAGCCTTTGTTAAAATACTTCTCCTAGAAAGAAAGACCGACTAAGAATAATGCTATACCAGATGTAGATTAGTCAAAAATTATCAATATGTATATCGTGATAAGCTAGAGAAAAAAAAAACATGTTTAAGATAACCATTAGTACTTTTTTGTGGGCTACATTCTACAATATATCTAATAATAAAAATTAAAAAAAAAACAGAAAAAAAAACGTCTGGGATCTTCGCCATGTTAGCTGTCAAGATTACAAATGAGTTACATAATAATCGGCAAAATATTAAAAGCTAAAATCAATGTCGCAAATTAATATATTCTTAGACGAAAAGATTAAGACTTCAGAAGATTTCCCCTCTTCTGGTAGCGTTTACTTTACACCATTGAACCTGTCGCGGGACTCTGAGGTACTACTCAAGGTTGCTCTTGTGGCCGCAGAGCTGCTTTTGCTATGCCAACGAGGAATGCTGCGGACTTTGTATCCGCGTGTATATATATAAAATATGCATTATCGCCGTGAGCGTTTTCTTACAGCAGTGTCGATGTCAATAACTAATTTGATGCAAACATCTACGCAATTGTTGGCCACGCAAAGCTGTGTTTCTGAGATTTTGTAGCTCGGGATTATATCTGAGCTACCTGGCATAATTTTTTTGTTATATTCATTTTGTAGAAAAAAAAAAAGAAGAGAACATTATCTTGCATTTATCACGTGCCGAACGCAGTCATCATGTGAATGTCTCTTTGCATCAGTCACGGAGAAAATGCCATCGAACTAACGGATAATGCTATAGATGCGCGATGTCGCGGAATAAGTATTCCCAGACACGTGCGACACAGCAAGAAATTCGGTGCTGCCACTCCCAATGTGACGTCAAGGCTATACGCTGAAACCGCCACCTTATATCCACACTCAACTAACTGGTCAGCACGAGCGAGTCAGCTTCCGTGAATATCTGGCCGCCCGTTAAAGGCTATTCCACTAACCACTTACTCCAATCATCGGGTTGCTCGAAGCAACATTCCGGGACTTAAGGCCAACCGTAAACGCTCATTTTATGGCCCGGGCAAGCTGTTTTACAAGCCGCCTGGTATAGCGTCTCTGCCGCTTCAGCCGGCAGAGTTTACCGTCCACCGGACAAGGGGCATGCGATGTTTTGCGCCTCTTTTGTTGTTGCTGTTGTTGCTTACCTGGCATGCCATAAAAGGACAGGCAGCTCGAGTAACGGTGTGCCGAGGTCGTTTCGGCACGTCGTAATTTCTCCGGGGTACTCTTCATTTACCGGCATCCCGTAGACGCGATTACTTCGGCCTCTCTCTTTCTCCTCCTCTCCCAAACACGTGTCCTTTAATACAGTTTTAAAGCGCGAAACACATGTACGACGAAAACCTTCCGATCCGACGTGCGGACTGCCGGAATGACCTTGGGGGGAGAGGGTTTTCGTAGCACCGGAGAGCGTTGAAAACCCTCGCCTCCGACCGTCGCGGTCGGACGTCGGATCAGACGGTTTCGTCGTACATGTGGGTCGCGACATGTCGATCCAGCGAGGGGTTGCCATGGAGCTAAACTCCTCCTTTGTCTTGAGGAACTGTGCCCTAACCGTTAATTTTACCCGTTGGAAACAACCAATCCTGCTCCGATGCCATCTTTTTTTCGATGATTTTAGTTTAACTGGTTTACTCCGGTTATACTAACATTCAAATAAAATTTTAGCGCCAATTCTGTATATTACCGCTCATGCACTGAAATCCAAAGCTTGTGGAACTGCGACAGAGGGAAAAGGGGGGGGGGGGGGGGGGGGGGGGGGGGGTTGGTGGGTTGAAGTGTAGCACAGCTTGGGAAGTACTGCGTTAATGCCATATCGCAGATACTCTTACGCGCGAAATTCGTGAACAGCTACGATGGATCGCGACTCTTTAAGAGCGGCTTAACAAATAATCACCGAAGTCTTTCGTAATGCTTCGGCAGATATGAGCCTGGGGAGAGACGATGCGTAAAGCTTCGGCAGATATAAGTTTGGGGATAGACGATGCGACGAATCAGGTAATCGGGCAGATACAGTAAGTCGACGTACGAATGTAATGTCATCGGTTAATCCACGTCTGTTTCCTTCGCCATATCATCTCAAAGCTTGCCTTGCTTTCGTTATCTTTCTATTCTTGTAATTCTTGTAGCATGCTACACGAGTACTGGATTCGTTAATGCGTCGCTTCTATGCAGCTGTTCTTTTTATCAGTATGCAGAGCCACCATAAAACACCGCTCGACAAAAACGCCACATTTATAGAACAGCTCGCAAGTAAAAAAAAAAAGGGGGGGGGGGGGGATGCACGGTTATTTGCGTCTTCTTTTATCACGTTAGTTATCGCGTATATTTTACCGTCACTACAGAACCGTCGAGGAACACATGTGCAGCCCAAACGACGTCCTCTAACTTGCGGGAGTGGCGGGATTTACCCGCAATTCGTAAAAAAAAAAAAAAACATAATCCAAAACGTATAAAGCCGGTGCGGTGCACACGGTTAGAAAGGAAGCCAATTTCGCTGTCTGCCATGCGGACTGCTACTCTTACCAGAGGCCTGCCCAGAGAAAGGCAAAGCAGTTTCTCCGCTATGCCATTAGAACGAGTTGCCATAGAAACGCTTTCTCCAAATGCCAAGAATCAGTCAAACGTACTAAGGGAAGAAAAAAAAAAAGCGAAGAAGAAAGGGTTTTGGGTATAATGGAGTCGTGGAGCAGAGCTTATTTCCGAAATACATATACGCGTGCATAAAATATAGGAGCTTGAGAATGCGGCGTGATAACGCCTGAAAACAGACTTTGCGGGGGAATGTTGCTTTGTCTCTGTTTTAAGTTTATAATCTTTTTTTTTTTTTTTTTTTTCTTTTTGGTTAAATAAAGTTTCTTTTCGTGCCCGCGCGCGTGCGTGCCCGTGTGTGTGTCTGTGAGTGTATTTGCGTGCGTGCCTGTGCGTATGTTTGTGTGTCCGTGCATGTATGTGTGTGTGTCTTTGAGTGTGTGTTTCTGTGTAAGGGAGAGAGAAAGAGAGACACCGGAAGGATAATTCTTTTGTTCGCGTCATAGATTGCCTCGAAGGCGATATAGATATCACGGAGCGAGTCCGCGCTTGCAAAATAAATAACAAACACATATATAATACAATCGATATTATGCCGCGTGAGTGGTTCCAAAACGAATTCGGTCCATCTCTCTTTTTTTTTTTTTTTGTCTTATATACTATATTGCTAGCAGTCCTTCTATGTATTATTCTAGTAGAACGAACAAAATATATCGCAGCTCAACCGAAGTGAAAGAGGAAATTGAGAAATACGCCTTTAAATTATGGTTTTCGGTATGTAAGTTTTGCCTCGAGCGAATATCACTGCTCAAGAGCACGCAGGTTTCTCCCGAAGCATTTTCGGAGGTTTCCACTCGATCGAGACGGAGGTGTTTAATCACGGACACTGCTGCAGCTTTGAAAAGTGGGTGTGCATTCGAATCCTCGAGGTGCATTCAACTCGACGATTATTCTGGCACCCCAATGACGAGGTTACTATTTTGCGGCTGGCTTCTATTTGCTGCCGCAAGTGCGCACAAAACCACCTTCTTATTTACCCCCTTTCAGAACGTCTGTGCCCGCCCGCGCGCGTGTCATATTTTGCATTAGCAGAGTCGGCAGGAATCGGCCGGCGGCTGTGCATCGCACGCAGGCAGCAAGCGCCGTCTCGTTACAAACAGCTTAACACCTCGTAAATATCTCCGACTTACATTGAGACGCATGGAGTCATGGACCTCGGTATAGCTCACACCCGAGAGATGGTTCTCGCGTCGGAACCTCGCCACCCGACGACCTCGGGTGCGCGCGGCAGGATTTCGGATGTGTGCGCGTGTGTTCGTCTGCCTCGCATGCCTCTCGGTAACGACTTTGGAAGCGGTTAGCCGCATGCCTCGCTTCTTATCGGCTACAGGCGTTTTTCCGCGGGGCCACGTTGCTATATCGAGGCTCCTAAATAGCACCGAGCGCGCTCCACGCGGCTCGCGAGTGGCAGTCATGGGGGAGCGCGGTTGGCTGCCTTCGCTCCGAAGGCATATACGTTGTTTCCGCTCGTTAGCTCGCGAGTCACGTGCAGCGGTAGAGAAGATACAGTCATTAGCGGCTAGTTCTTCGAAGTGCCTCGAGTTACAGGAAAATATCGAAAGCCCGAGGGTCGATGCGCTCTTCTACACTCTAAAGCTGCGCTCGCACAGCTAATACGTCATACAAAGGACATACGGCATGACACTTTGCCAGGTGTGTTTCAGGTCACATTGATCCTGTCACACGTGACAGTGGTCCTGTCACATGTCACATTGGTCATACAAAAAAACTGTCTACAGACATGTTCATGTATGAAGCAAACATGATTCAAACAAGAGTAAAGCAGCTCGCGTTGAAATTGTACAGGAATACTGTGTCAGGGTTCGGCGTAGACCCGATTCTATATAGTCATACGCTTCTCGCCCCAAAATAACGGCGTACGCCAAGGTAGCCTCATTAGGTTTTGTTGACGCTCTATCGGTGTTTAGTGAACCCAAAGTTCCAAGGGGACGCTGTACGTTCTGGTGATGTTGAGTATCACGTTGGTGGCACACGTCGAATTCATTCTCGTGTCAAAGATTTTGTCACAAAAAAAAAAAAAAAAAAGGCAGGGCGTCTTTTTTTATTGTTTTGCCTGCAGTATACGCGTTCGTGTCCCTCCACCGTGCTTCGGTTATGCGTAAGCACTCGAGGCTCACCAGGTGCCGAAATGTTATCGAAGTTGAGAAGCTCGCTTCCATGCTCGGAAGTTGCCAACTCCGACTCTAACCGTGCGCCGTGGCTTTTCTGTCTCCCAGGCGAACCCAAGGTGCAGCCGTTCCACTTCCCCAAGACGGTTCTGCGCGGAGAGAACGTCAAGGTGGTGTGTTCGGCGGCGTCCGGGGCGACCCCGCTCAACTTCCAGTGGCTGCGGGACGGCCAGAGGCTGAGCAGCGACGGCGCCCAGGTCAGCATAAAGACCTTCGACGACTTTTCCGTCCTGGTCGTCAACAACGTCGGCGTCGCCCACAACGGCAACTACACGTGCTCGCTCAAGAACCACCAGGGCGGCGACGCCTTCTCCAGCCAGCTCCTCGTTCAGGGTGAGCTCTCGCGTCCCTCGACGCCATTCTCCTTCGTCTGTAGACAAGCGCGAAGTCCCGTGCATCTCATTAGTGCCCCGCAGCCGATGAGATGGCTGCCTTGCCGATAAGGATGCTGTAGCCACACGCTGCGCTCCTTAAGCTTTCATTGACAATAGCAAATCTTCCACTATAACTCCGCGCGTAGAACCGTTCGCCCGAGGCTTCCGAAGCGCAAATCCCAGACTCGATTTGAATGTGCTAGCGGCTGTTTGAATCAGGTGTGAGAATGTTCCGAATTTGACATTATTCGATCCTACAGCATGTTAACCAACGCTTCTGAGGCACTTTAGACGGCTGAAAAAAAAACAACAAAAAAAGGTTTTCAACGTATTGCGCTGCAATTGACTTCGGTTGTGCAAGTACGTGTTGCAACTTCACAGTGTAAAAGAAAAAAAATAATCAAGGAATGATATTATTTCGTTCGAAAGAAAAAACAACAAGGAACTGTTCTGGGCAATCTACGCTGTCACTTCGCAGACGATGCACGCGTAGGGAGAAGTGCTGCTGACAGATGGCGTACGCCGCGTCGAAGTAGCGCCTGCCGACTCGGGTTCTTTTGCGAGATCGTCTGTCAACCCGAATCGGCCGGCGCTCGCTCGATGATGATGATGATGATGATGATGCGGCTGTTCCCTTTAGATCGGGCGGGCTCGAACAATATTCATGCCCAAGCCTGGGGGCATTTGCGTGTTATTGCCCCCTAAGGTAGATCTTTCTCCACCAGTCCTCTAATCGTCTCTTTGTTGCCTCGACAGACGGCCTATGTGGGCCACTGGAGGCCGTAGTCTCATTCGAGGCAGGCCTGTCCGCTGGTGCGGCTGGCCTAACCTCACTGGTTTGGTGTCCATCTCTAGTAGCCGTGAAGCCCAATACTTCGGTAAGCTCCAGAGGGCTTTGAAGGTCACGGTCGTTGTCTCGTGACTGGGATGGTCGGAGTCCTGCGCATTCCAGTACAATGTGTGCTACTGTTTCGTCGTGGGCCCCGCACACCCGGCACACGCTCGTGGTCACAGTAGAATCGAAGTGACGTCTGTAAGACAGAGTCCTTAGTGCCCCGGCTCGTGCCTCAAATAGCAAATGACTACCCAGGCTATTATCGTATAGCCTAGCCTCCGGGCCGATGGTTCTCTTGTTTGCAACATACACATCGAGCGTAGTCTTCAATTGGGCATCTTTGAGCCACTGCTGTGTTTCCTGGTCGCGAACCTTTTTCCGGACCTCTCTCTCCCATTCCCTGGCCGATGACGCTTGGACAGGGTCCGCAAAAAAACCGTACTTGCTTTCGAGCTGGTATAGGCGTTTCTGCCAGCGGGTCTGCAGCCCAGTCAGTTGAGTGTACCTGAACAGCCTTTTGGCCCACCGGCAGGTGTCCATATGTCGGAGACGTCCGTCGTAGGCGATTTTGCTGGTAGCTTCACGGGCTTCAAAAGAGGACCATCCCAAATCACCCTGGACAGCCTCATTTGCTACTGTACCATGACAGCCTAGCGCTTGACGCCCGACCTCCCTCTGCCTACGTTCTATGTGAGCTCGGATATCTCCAGGGACACACACCACAGCGTTAGCAAAAGTCAATCCTGGTACCACCACCGCCTTCCACAGCTCCCGGGTCACAACGAATCTATTGCAACTCCAGAGATTCCGTCTGCGCAGAATGCTGGTTCCTCTGATGGCTGCTTGGCGGAGATGGGCGTGATGCTCTTGCAAGTAGTCCTCTGTATTTGTGAGTGTAATGCCCAAGTACCTGTACGAGTTCATTACAGGTACACAGTCCACCCCGAGTCGAAGACTGCCAAATGTTGGATCTTGTGGACCTGCAAACAGCACCGTTGCTGACTTGTTAGTGTTGAATTTCAATCCCAGTTCCGTTGCTACCTCCGTACAGACATCTAGGAGTTTCTGCATGTCGCAGACTGATGCCGCGGTCAGTACTACATCGTCTGCGTAGGTAAGTCCGGGTAGAACCCATTCGACGGTCAGACCATCTTCTAAGTGAGCCAACGAGAAGCCCAGTCCAGATCGGATCAGTTGCGTTTCGAGTCCGGTTACGTAAAGCATGTACAATAGTGGACAGAGTGGGCACCCCTGGCGTAAGCCTCTTGTCACCAGCACTTCCTCAGAGTTAGCCTCACCTAACTTTGTCCTAACCGTGTTGCCACTGTATAGGCGGTGGATGAGGGTGACCCACTCTGGTCGCATGTCAAGATGTTGTAGTCGACATATCAACTGGGCATGTGGCACACTATCATAGGCCTTAGCGACGTCCAGAAAACAACATATTAGGGTCCTCTGCTCCTTGCGGACAACCTCAATACATTGTGTTAGCGTAAACAGATGATCTTCTAACCGGCGACCTCGTCGAAAACCTCCTTGAAGTTCCGTAAGCAAGCCTTCTTCCTCTGCCCATGCAGTCATGTGCTCCTTCAGAATATGTACGAAAGTTCTATATATCGTGCTGGTCACAGTCAGTGGTCTGTAGTTGCAGAGGTAACGCTGGTCACAACCTTTTTTTGGAACAAGAACGACTTTGCCTCTCCTCCAGTCTCCAGGAACTTCTATTCCAGAGGCAATGTTGTTAAAAATTCCTGCCAGCTGATCCCTTGAACCTTTCCCTAGTGCTTTGAGGACGTTTGCCGGAATCTCGTCCAGTCCTTGGGCGGTGTTACTTTTTAGGTGAGTCAAAGCGCGTATGATTGACACCCTGCCGATTTCTCCACCGTCGACATCAACCGGAGTACCATCCGGATTTTGATGTGGTAAGATGTCCTGAGGTGTTGGTGCTCCCGGGGGCGAAAATATCTTCACTAGGTGGTCTGTAAGGCTATGCCCAAGTTTGTCTGCTGTCATCCTTTTGTTCTCGTCGAGTATAGCCAGCCTCTGATCTCTCCCGTCCAAGGTTCCAAGGTATCTCCAGAACTTTCTAGGCGCATCTCTCCCGCTTGAGCTAATGTCTCTCATTGTTTGCAAGTCAGCCTGAGACATTTTCTCCTGGACAAGTTGCTTTGCGGCTTGCTTTTGCGCCTGGTACATCTGCCATTTTACTTCGACTTCGTCTCTGGTCCCCATGTGAAGGGCCATGCGGTGTTCTCTGTTCAGTTCTTTCCGTACTCGGATGGCAGCTTGAACCTCCGCTCCATTGACACGGCGTACGCCATCTGTCGGCGGCACTTCTCCCTACGCGTGCATCGTCTGCGATGTGGCGGCGTAGATTGCCCAGAACAGATTTTTTTTTTTCTTTTGAACGAAGTAAGTTTATTTCTTGATTTTTTTTTTCACTCTAAATTTTCATTACCTGCTTGCACCTCTGTAGTAAATTGCAGCGCGATACGTCGAAAACCCGATTTTGGCGCGCCGTCTAAAATGCCTTAGAAGCGTTAGTTTTGATTCTGTAGAGGAAAACAGTGCGACAGACGTTAACTTCGCGTTTCAACACCGATCTAGATGCCCGGAATAAATGACCGACTCGCATTTTTGGAGTCCAGTCCGGCCGCTGAATAACGCGTTTCGCGTAACGCACACGCTTTCGTGCTCTCTCAATGTACCGCACTCATTTATTCAGTGAGATGATCAGTCTCGTTTCTGTAAAACGGGACAGTCGAAAACTCCTGTCATAACAGGGACTAGAGCCAGCTAAATAAGGAATACGCTTCAGAGTAACGACACTTACCCATTTTGGCGCCTAATATCGTGGTTGTCAGTTATCTGAAACTGTATCTGAAATCACAGGAAACGCCACTCCGACCCCTACAAACGTTTAAACAGTTCGCGACACGGCAAAGCAACATTGCATGAGCTTCCTAACACCGAATCCAATACTGTAGAAGTCGCACATTTGAATCATGACGATCGGCACTTGCGCTTGCTCCGTACTAATCACCAAGATGACGGCAGCCACCACAATATCGGGGAACAGAGTGACGGTACTCTAAGCGTAGCTCATTTAGTGGCTCTGAGACAAGTTGGTCCGTTGTTTTTAGAGATGTACGCACGAGAACACTGCATATAAACAAGAACCCTTTCTTTTTTTCTTTTTGTTTGAAGGGCGAAGCATGCACACATACACACTTCCTTCCGCGTCGAAGAACGCAACCCTTTTCCTGCGCGACATCACGGATACGAACCTTTCAACGCGCCCCTGTTCTTTGAACAGCTCGACCTTGTCGTCCATTCCGTCGGGCGATACGCGTCATCAGGACCAGACGGCGGCACGCACGGAAAAGAGGGACCACGCCCCTGCGCCGCGCCGCCGGTCTCCTCCAGATCGAGCCGCGCGCGGGGGCTCGAACCGGGTACTCGCGTTTAGAACCCAGGGCTCAGAAGCGCGCGTCGATCGATGTCCCTGCGTGCGTGTGCGCGTGTGCGTGTGTATGTGTCTCTTAGTGTGGTGGCGGTGGAAGGGGGGGTTCCGGCTGCTCTCTTTTTCGGGAAGCACGCAGTCCCGGTTCTATCTCCTTATTTTATTTTATTTCATTTTCGTCCGCTTATCGCATTCGTGCTAGGCACGCGAAGAAAACGCGCGTTCTGCACGCAGCAGCAGCAACGCGCAGTGAAACGAATTCGCGCCGGTCTTTGTATAGCATCGCGACGAGCGTCCCGCGCGCTTTGAGCTGCCCCGCCTTCTTTGTTCGCTGCTGCGCCGTCGTGCAAAACAATGGTGCCGTTGGCGCTGTGCACTAGCGCTACTTGCGACGAAAAGAGCGCTCGTTCCTCTCCGCTTTTTCTTTGGTTGACGGAGAGATGTTGGAGTGTGCGTGCGTGTGTATGTGTGTGTGAATAACGCAAAACAAAAATTCTATCTTCATTTTTTTTTCCCGTGAGGGAAGAGGACCGTTGTCACGCGTGAAATGTTCTTAATATTTTTTTTTTTATTTAGAGTTTTACTTGAACTTTCTGCTTAGAGTTGATCGACGAGCTGAACTTTTGGCAAGAGATGCGACATCAGAACGAGATGGGTGGGT